GCAAGGATGTACACTATCACCACTCCTGTTCAATATAGTTTTGGAAACATTAGCCACAGCAATTACACATGAGAAAGATTAAAGCAATAAAGATAGGAAAGGAAGTTAAACTGTCATTATTTGCTATGACAGTCAACATAGAAGACCCAAAAAACTCCACCAAAAGACTTCTAGACTAAATTGACACTTTCAGCAGAGTAGCTGGATACAAAGTCAACACTCAGAAATCAATAGCCTTCTTGTACACAAATAACAGAATCACTGAGAAAGAAATTAGGGAAACAATTCCTTTCACAATAGCATCCAAAAAAATGAAGTATCTAGAAATCAATCTAACAAAGGAAGCAAAAGACCTCTACAGTGAAAACTACAGCACTCTGAAAAAAGAGATCGAAGAGGATATAAGAAAATGGAAAGATATCCCCTATTCCTGGGTAGGAAGAACCAATATAGTGAAAATGGCCATATTACCAAAACTGCTATACAGATTCACTGCAATCCCTATTGATATTCCAACAGTATAGTTCACAGAACGAGAGAAATAATCCAAAACTTCATTTAGAACAAGAGACCTAGAATAGAAAAAGCAATTCTAGGCAACAGAGACATGACGGCGGGTATCACAATCCCCAACATGAAACTATGCTACAAAGACACTGTGATTTAAAAAAAAAAAAAAAAAAAAAGCATGGTACCGGCAAAGAAAAAGACCTGAGGATCAGTAGAATAGATTGGAAGATACAGAAACAATTCCAGATGTACTCAGCTACTTCCTTTGACAAAGGTGCCAACCATCCTCATTGGAGGAAAGAGAGCCTCTAATACAGGGTGTTAGAAAAACTGGATTTCAACCTGCCAAAGATTAAAACTAGAGCCTTATCTTTCAGCTTGCACTAAACTAAAATCCAAGTGGATTAAAGATCTAAATATTAAAACAGAAACACTATACTTGCTGGAAGATAAGTTAGTTAGAATTCTGGAGGGCCGGGGATTTAGCTCAGTGGTGCCCTTGCCTGCCTTGCTAAGCACAAGAATCCGAGTTTGATCCCCGGTACCAAAAAAAAAAAAAAAGAAAAAAACTCTCGAAGACATTGGCATAAGAAAAGGCTTAATGAACAAATCCTCAGTAGCACAGGAACTAGCACAAAGAATCAACAACACCTAGGATCTCATTTTATTAAAAAGCTCTGCACTGCAAAAGAAACCACCAACAGAACTAAGAAACAACCTACAATATGGGAAAAAATGTTTACCAGCTGCTCCTCAAACAAAGGACTATTATCTAGAATATACAAAGAACTCAAAAAAATCAAACTCCCAAATATAAAGACACTATTCAAAACTAGGCATGTGAAATGAACAGACATCTCTCAGATAAAGGAGTAAAAGCAGCAAATAAACATATGACAACGTTCACTTGTCATTCAAGAGATGCAGATGAAAACAACTCTGAGATTTCATCTCACCCCAGAAAGAACGGCTGCTATCAAGAAATCAACCAATAACAAATGTTGGCAGGGATGTTGGGAGAAAGGATTCCTTCTCCATTGTTGGTGGGAGTGCAGGCTGGTGCAACCACTGTGGAAATCAATATGGAGATACCTCAAAGAACTAGGATTAGAGGTTCCATTTGACCCAGCCATCCCTCTGTTGGGTATCTTTCCAAAAGAATTAAAAGAATCATACCACAGTGATACATGCGCACCCATATTTATAGCAGCACAGTTTGTAATAGCTAAAACTTGGAAACAGCCCAATTGCCCATCAGTTGGAGACTGGATAAAGAAGATGTGGTTTTTCTATAAAATGGTGTACTACTCAGCCATAAAGAATGAGAAACTAGAGTCATTCTTAGAAAAATGGATGCATATTGAGGCTATACTCTTAAGGGAAATAAATAAGACACACATGTGTAAATATCAAATAGTTTCTCTGGTGTGAAAAACTAAAAGTGTAAATAAGATCCAAATTGTATAACTGATAAAGTGAAATAGGAAGAAAAGGGCTAAAGGTGTAGGGGAAGTGGGAAGGGTAGGGGAAAGGAAATAAGGGAAAAGAAAAAATATGAGAAAAGGAAAAGATGGAATGGAGGGAGGGCAGGATGTGGGAAAAAAAGAGAACCAAGATCTGTCATGTAAAGTACAAGATCCCAATGATGATGTAACTGTACTGTACACTTTAAAAGTAACAATAAACTCAATAAAAAAGAAAAGATTCAATTAAAAAATGGGCAACCAAAATGAATAGAAACTTCTCAAAATACAGATGGCCAATAAATACATGAAAAGTGTTCCACATCACTAGCCATTGCCGAAATGCAAATTAAAATACCATTGGGATACCACTTTACTCCAGAAAGAATGGCTATCATCAAGAAATCAAATAACAGAGCCAAGAGTGGTAGCACACACATGTAATCCTAACCCTGGAGAGGCAGAGGCAGGAGGATCACCACAATTTTGAGGCCAACCTGAGCTACATAGTGAGTTCAAGGCCAGGCTGAACTACGTAACAATTAAAAAAAGAAAGAAAGAAATCAAATAATAACAAATGCTAGGGGGAGCAACTACATTATTGCAGGAGTGTAAATCAGTATGACAACTCTGGAGAGTCCTCAAAATACTAACAGAAATTTCATTCAACCCAGCTAATTCTCTTCTAGGAATCTTCCCAAAAGAGTTCAAGTCATCATATCACAATGTGCATGCATCTAGCAGCAAAACTTATAATACCTAAATCTTGGAAGCAGCCTACATGCACATCAACAGATGAATGGATAAAGAAAATGTGGTATTTATGCACAATGGTGTACAACTTTGCCACAAAGAAGATAAACTTGAGGTATTGGTAGGTAAATGAATGCACCTGAGACCAGAATGTTAAGTGAAATAAAGAGACATACAAGTTTAAATATCACATGGTTTCTCTTATATGAGAAACTCAAAATATAAATAAAGAGCAAAATGAAATATATATAATAGGAAGTAGTGATATCTTTTTCAAACAGGAAGGGAAAAGAGGGATGGGGGAGAGACAGAAAGAAGGGAAAGGAATTTTTTAAAGGATTGAGGAAAAACAAAAATAGAGCTTTTTCAAGTGAGAAGGGGAAGAAGAGTTGGAGAGAACAGGGAGTGATGGAAAGGGAGAGACACAAAAAAGAATTAAAGTGTGGGCCAAGCCTGGTGGCACAGATCTGTAATCCCAGAACTCAGGAGGCTGAGGCAAAAGGATTGCCACAATTTTGAGGCCAGCCCAGGCCACACAGTGAGTTCAAGTCCAGCCTAAACTGTACAGTGAGACCCCATCTCAAAAATTAAAACAACAAAAAAAATTAAGATGTGTTATGAACATGCACAAACTCTCCAGAATAAATATAATCATTATAGACTGCAAACATGCACTAACAAAAAAAATTAAATTAAAAAGTAATTAGGGCCAGGGATTTAGCTCAGTGGCTCCACCACCTGCCTTGCAAGCACAAGGACCCAAGTTTGATCCCTGGTACCAAAAAAAAGTTGTTAAAATAGTAGATTTCATGTTCTATGTATTTTACCACAGTAATGAATAATAATAACAAGATGATCCCCTCATCCAGCCTGGGAAGTCAGCACAGAACCCTGTCTACACGGGAGCAGGCTGAGCTCAGGCCCAAATCTCCACAAGTCAGCATGTCCAGCACCGGCCCCAGTGCCTGCATCTGGACTGCCATGGAGCTACATCGGTGAGCGCAGGCGCCCGGCACTGGCTGGTGGCAAGCAAGCTGGAGCAGGGACCTCTGTCCCTCTCCACAAAGCAAAGCCAGGCTTCCCCACAGCTCTGCCAGCCTCCACCCAGGGCCAGCAGGAGGACATGCAGCCACCAGGGTCCCCAGCAGAGGTGCCACGTCTTGGCATCCATAGGCATCGGCCAGATGCAGGGCCAGCACCCCAGGCCTCCAGAAGGCCAGATGGATGCAAGGAGCCTTGTGTTGCTGCCCAGACACCCCTACCCCGCCACTCTGCTGGGGCCTGGGCCACCTTCGTGCGCCCTGCAGTGGGAGTGGGGACAGTTGGGGCACGAGATGTGGGTGGTGTGATGGGAGAGGCCCTGGCCTGTTGGTGGAGGAGGACAGCAAGGAGTGAGAAATGGGGAGGTGGAGAGGGAAGAGAAAGCGTGGAGAAACACAAGGGAAGAGAGAAGCTGTGGGGTGTGAGGAGGGTGAGGACACACCAAGGAAAGCAGAGGCAGGCGGGAGCCCAGAGGGAAAATGGGGGAACGCAAAGACAAAGAGGTGCAAGGCAGTGGGGAAGGAAGAGAAGGAGACTGAGCTGGGGGTGGGAGGACAGAACGGTTGGCTGCGTCACTATCAAGGCCATCACCGCAGCGCAGAGGCAGGAAGACTGGCGGCTGCAGTTTAAGGTAAAGAGGTAGGGGCCTCACATGGAAACCCAGAAGTACCAGCTTTGGCTAGGGAGGGAAGCACAGATGCCTGATGCCAGCTCTGACTCCAGGCTTAGATCCAAACAGAGTGAAGGAAGGGCGATCTGCAGGTCTGTGGGTCCTGCTGGGAGAAAGACTAAAGCTCCCCAGAGTCTGTCCCAGCCCTCCACACCAGCACTGAGTGCAGCCCCAAGAAGAAGAGCCTGTGCCCCGGCTCCCCAGCAATGTCACCATGGGTGTCCAGGGTGGCAGAGTCTAGGGGCATAGAAGGGAGCCTCTAGTCACTGTGGGTGGCCAGCTCTCACTGCCCACCACTGTCTGGGGAGGACACACACTTCATGGTGGGCAAGATTAGGTCACTGTAGCCAGGCATGGTGGTGCACACCTGTGATCCCAGCACTCGGGAGGCTGAGGAAGGTGTATCACCACCAGTTCAAGGCCAGGCTGGGCTACATACTGAGTTCAAGGCCAGCCTAAACTTCACATCAAGACCCCGCCTCAAAAATAAATAAATAAAAATAAAAAATAAAAAAAAGAAGAAGGAAAGCGAAGCTCAAAGAGATAAAGCCACTTACTTGGGATCGACCTGCAGACAAGATGCAAGGTCCTGACACACTAACCTCAGTGCTGAGTCTGTCACTCCAGCCCCTTGGGAGGCTCCCAAGGTAGATGCCACCGAGTGAGACCTGGTGAGCAAGCAGATAATCTGGGTTAAACCCTCATTCTCTCTGAGCCTCAGCTTCTGCCCAATAGAATATGAAGAAAAGAACTCCTTCCTCCTCTCATGGGGCTGTTATGAGTATCACATAAGAAATGAAGGAGATTGGTTTAGTTACCTTAAGAATTATAATGCTAAAAAAAAAGAATGATAATCCTAGCCAGGTATGGGGCATACACCAGTAATTTCAGCACTCAGGAGGCTACAGCAGGAGGATCTCAAATTCAAGACCAGCATGGACTACATAGCAAGTTCAAGCCAGCCTGGACTACATAGCAAGACCTTGTTTCAAAAAGCAAACAAACAAGTCAGGCATGGTGGCCCACCTGTAATCCCAGCTCTTGAGAGGCTGAAGTAGGAAGATTGCCATGAGTTCAAGTCCAGCCTGAACTACATAGCGAGATGCTATCTCAAAAAAACAAAGGAAAAGAAAAAAAAGATAAGGCTTGAGCTGGGGCTATAGCTCAGTGGTATGTGCTTACCTAGCATGTGCAAAGGCCTGATTTTGATCCCCAGGACCTAAAAAAAAAAAAAAAAATGCTTGGGCTTTCTCATATCCTGTGTTTACTCATGGGATGCTTACCTAGCATGTGCAAAGGCCTGATTTTGATCCCCAGGACCTAAAAAAAAAAAAAAAAATGCTTGGGCTTTATCATATCCTGTGTTTAGACTCATGGGACTTAAAATGATTTGGGCTTTGAAAAGTTTCTAGACATCCCAACAGAGGAGGCCAATGTACAGATTGGGAGGGGCACCCCAGCCTCTTTCTAACCCCTCCCGCCCACCTTGACCTTGGCCTGAACCCCCAGATCGAAACCCCCCTGCCACCCCAAGCAGCTCCCACTGGAAGATCCTTACACGCCAGGCCCCATTCCTTTCTCTGGTCCTGGGCCCCAGCCTTTGACCTCCCACATTCTCCCCACCTTCCCAGTGGTCACCATTAATGATGGGATTGACTCAGACACACAGCTGGGAAGGTGGGATCTTAGCTGGGCTTAGGCTCCCTGGTCACCACCCAGGCCAGAATCCTAGTGCCAGGCAGTTCTGGTCCAGGACTGGGCACAGTAGCAAAGCAACATTCGCCCGAGTCACAGATCCTCACAACTAAGGTTCCTGCTGAGGTGGAGCAGAGATGAACATGGGAGAAATGGGAAAGATGCCACGCTGGGGGTCGGGTGGTCACCTCACACATCTGTTCCGTGGAACTGAAAGACCTAGGCAGGAACTGAGGGAGAGTTTATTAAATTATTCATCCCAGGCACTGGGGTGGGGGAAGTGAAGACTATAACAAAGAGAAGACTTGAGGACTGCCTAGCACAGGACGGGGGATGCAGGGGCATTGAGGGTCCTGGTCCCCTCCCCAGACCTTAGCCAGACTCTTGGACTGTCCTCACACCCTCACTGTGGCTGTATACACATGCCCTTACGCAGTGCGCACACCGGTACACAGGTCCTCATCTGGCACCAACTTTGACCTTCACTGCCCTGTGCTCTCCTAACTTTCCTCCGATTGGATTTCCTCCCAACACTTCTACCTCCAACTGCGTTCTGCTGTTTCCAGCTTCCCTCACCTGGCATCTCAGGTCATGCTTTGTCACCTCCTGGATCCGCCCAACTGCCAGCATTTGGATGTCCCTGAGAAGCAGACATTCCCCAGGGCTGGGGATGTAGCTCAGTGGCACCGCGCCTGCCTCGGAAGCGTAAAATCCCGCGATTGATCCCTGTACACGCTTCCTTTTCCTTTGCTCAACAGTGGGAATATAGCGCCTCCTGCTGGCACCGCTGAGCAGCGCAACCGGCTTTGGTCACCGCTCAACAGGAAAGGCAAGAAAGAGGTGGAGAGGCTGGGGAGACCAAAAGTGAAGGGCGGAAAGAGTTCATCCCAGTGGAGTGGGAGGGCTGGCCTTCTGGCTTTAAGAGGGTGAAAGGAAACTGACTGGAGATGAAGTGGGGGATTTTCCGGGAGGCCAGAGGCAAAGGAAGTAGTGACCCCAGATAACACTTGAGTCTCCCAATTGTGGTGTCACATGTCCACTACTACCAGGAGAGCCCACGATACAAATTCTTGGCTCCCTTCTTCAACTTCTCTTAGAGGGCTTGGAGCTTAACAGGGCTGGCGAGGGACCCAGGCAAGATAATTACAGGGTTTAGAATATGCTGTGGAGAGGATGATAATTATATAGTGAGATCTCAGGGGAGCCACAGGGCTTGTGGGCCAGAGGTCTAGGAAGGGTCTACTCCATCAAAGTATGTCCCACCCAGCCCCAGAACAGCCTTCCCAGCCCCTAAAGACACATGGGGGGTTGTCTCTAGGGAGCCTTCTGCTAGTTTCACCTCCCCTCCTGAGAAACCCTTGCAGTGCCAAGGAATGAATCCACTGACCCCCAGAATGAGGTGTTTGTGAGCAAAAAGGGAGAGGAGATCGGATTAAGCATCTTCCCTTGAGAGGACAAAGAACAGGTATTCCTGCAGTGCTTCCCTGATTCTGACAGCAGCACCACTGAGAAGTGCCCAGGCTTCTCTGGCCTTGAACCCTGGCATCAGGCTTCCCAAGAGGGTAATAAACACTCCATCCAAGGACACGTCAGAGCCCGGATCCTCCCTCCCCCTGGATCACCGCCTCCTCTCTGGCAGCTCACAGCCTTCAAACCTAAATGCCTCCCTTAGACCCCAACCCGCATATGCTAGAACTACTCAGGACCTTGAAGGAGGATGGGCCTGGAGGTTGCCAGGTAATTTTGGGAAAGGGTCACCCCAGGGAGGAAGACAGCTGCCTGGGAGACCAGGACAGTGGGTAGGACCCCAAGCCACAGGGTACACCAGGATGAGTAAAGATCTTCATGTCAAGCCCTCTTCCAACTCCTTTTCTGTAAAGCTATCCCCCTTGGAACTGGGTCTGGGGCTGCTGGAGTACTGAAGCTCCTAAAAGCTCGGACTTAGTTCCTGCAACTCAGGGAAACCCAACTGGACCAAGCCAAGGGACCTTAAGAGACAAAATCTAACTAGGCAGGGTGGTTCACGCCTGTAATGACAGCATTCAGGAGGCTGAGGCAGGAGGATCACTGCCAGTTGGAGGCCAGCCTGGGCTTCATAGTGAGTTCAAGGCCAACGGAAACTACATAGCAAGACCCTGCGGCCGGCGGGGGCGGGGGGAATCTAGAAAGGATTAGAGAAAGGGCAAGGTGTACTGTATTACGATACAGAATTTTTCAAGCCGAGGATGTAACTCAGAGGTACAGTGCGAGGTCCTAGGTTCTATCACCCGACTCTTCTCAGACTAGAGGTCTAAAATGAAAAATACAGTGTGAAGCATGAGAAGAGCCCACTGTAGGCTTTGTACCGCCAGATGGCAATCTTGTCTATCAATTGAATTGCTTTTAGTTTTCTCTCTCTCTCTCTCTCTCTCTCTCTCTCTCTCTCTCTCTC